TGGCGATGAGGAAGCGATGGGCCTTCTTCAGCGCGTCCGTGTCGATGCACATCCCTGGGCCCGACACGATCTCGCTGTAGTCGAAGTCCATGGGGTCGGTGATGTGTCGGGCCCAGAGCTCGGCCAGCTGCTCGTGGTTCTTGAAGCCCTCGGTGCGAGGAGCCTCTCGGAACCCATGCGCGCGACTCCTCTCATGCTCCTCATCCTCATCCACCCCCCATCTCTGCCTCCTCGGGGTCAACGAGCTCGTCGCCTGCCTCGGATTCAGTGACGAGCTCGTTGACCCACTCCTGCCGAGTCGAACTCCAACGACCGTAGTCAGACGAACCCAACGTTTGCTGGCATTGGCACCGTTCCTCTCGAAATTCCTCCACCTCCTGTCAGGAACAGTATGACTTGGAGGACTTCGTGGAGCTTTAAAGCTCCACGAAGTTCTCGAGGTCATACTGCTCCTCTCAGTCATTTCGAGCGTCTCCATCGAAAACTCGAACGGCAACTTTATTAACAGATGCATCGAAAACTGTCCGCTCATATCCGATCATCCCCATCGACGGAACGCGGTGTTCACATTTACCCTCCAGAACCTTCGGCGCCATGGCACTCGCCGTCGCAGCCAGCTCGGGCCCCGGCCCGCCGTGGAGCGCCCGCGCGCTGCCACAACGGCTCGGGCCAGGCGCTGCGCGGAATCACACAACACCAACAACTAAAACGCAGAAACACCGGCCATGAAATATCACTATCAGGTGTCGCACGTCGTTGTTTGATATGATTCTTAACGGAAATGATACTTGTGATAATGCATGTTTGTAATACAAGCATAAGCTTGAATTTCCAAGCATAACATAACATAGCATAGCAAGCTTGATTTTCAAGGATTCAGGACCACAGGGTTAGGTGGGCCCCAACAAGGTCCCCGAAACGAGCATCTGAGAGGCTGGCCTCGTGCCCCGGGGCCGTCAGGAAACTGCTGACGACGCAAGGCCAGCCCTTGGAATGGAGTCTATTCAGGGGCCCCGGAAGACACAAACGAGCACATATTCCAAGATCCCCCATGTTTTCTATATTTTCTGGACCCGGGGATCGACGATTCTGTTGTGTCTGTCTGTATATATTTCTTTTTTCCTCCTTGGTCGAGATGCCTGGGGATCGGGGATGGACAGCCCTCCATTTAATAAAACGTGGTTTAGTGAAAACGACCTCGGGCCCAAACCTGGCGGGCGCAAGCCTGGAAAATAACGGCCGCGGCACCCTCTCGAGAACCGAAAATGGACAATTCACTAATCGACGTGTCAGGGTGGGGGTTCTGTCCACCCCCGAGCGGAGCCGGGAACTGACATCTAGCCCGCGAGGGTCCGGGGAGGAGGGCCGTGCGCGGACAAGAAGCTCGGACCCCGAGGCGCAGGCTACCCCCTCCGCCCTCTGAGGCCATCTCGGGGCCTCCGGGCCTCCGGGGGTCACTCTGCGACGAGCCCGAGGATGTCTGCGGGGGCATGCGGCACACTTTCGGCCATCCAGTAACTTCAGGGCCAGACTTATGCTGTTCCCATCGTACTTGAGGGCCACGTCCCAGAAACAATGTCGAGCTCCCAGAAGAGTGTCGAAAGAGTGTCGAGACAGTGTCTCCCACGGCCCGACACGTGAAAACCCTCGAGCTTTGGGGTGCGCTCGAAATTCTTGCTGGTGATCAAGGCTAACGTAGGTTGGAACATCATAAGGCCAGACCTCTTAGCACGCAATTATCCATGCCTGAGGTCTCCATATGTCGCCGCGCCGTATGCTCTCAGTGGGCCCAGGTAGACGACGCCGACACCACAGCAAACACCCACGGCAAGCCCACGGCGAACCCCACGGCGAACCCACCGCGTCCGAGGCGACGTTTGTCCTGGTGGCCGAAGCGCCCTCCCCGAGACGCAAGGCCGCGCGTCGGAACAAACGGCGCGGCAACATATGGAGGGCGCGGCAATGTAGGGGGCTTGGGTGAGCGCCAAACATCATCATCATCATCATCATCATCATCATCATCATCATCATCATCATCATCATCATCATCATCATCATCATCATCATCATCATCATCATCATGACCTGTGTACTGAAATCAACATTACCTTCGGAGGCGGGTGGATGATCAGAATGCTCCCTCAGGTGGGTACGGGCTCGACTGTATTGGCCATCGACTGAGTGGACGCAAGAGAACCGAGGAGGAGGATCGAGGGCCTCGGGCGCTGGGGACGTTTTTGCTGGCCCCCCACGCGTCGGAGCGCCTCTGCGGTGACGCCCTGCGGAGACCTATGTGGGGGGAGGGGGGGAAGCCAGGCGGGCCATCGGAGGAGGGAGGGCGGAAAAGAACCGCAGGGTCTCTCTCTCTCTCTCTCTCTCTCTCTCCCCTTCTCTCTCTCTCTATTTCTTCTCGATGGCCCCTCGGGTTCCACGCGCGGACCCCGACCCCAAGCCCCCTCATGAAAAAACCTCGACGGGAGCATTGTGACTATTTCCAGCCTCTGGGGGCCATTCCCAGGCCTGGGGACCGTGAAACATCAACTCGCGATGAAACACCGATCCCAGGGAATGCATCGAGACCTTCTGGGGGTCGATGTTATGAACAACAAAAAACATGGCGTCGGAGGTCTGGGGCTGTCGACCCCCCATCTTACCATCTTTTGTGGGAGACGCGGGACTCGAGTTTGGCAGACTCCTCCTCCTCCTCCTCCTCCTCCTCCTCCTCCTCCTCCTCCTCCTCCTCCTCCTCCTGACTCGAGGTGGCCCGGTCGGGCCATCAAAACAATGACGAGACCCAATCTGGAACTCGACGCGAGCTCCCGCTGCAGACAGCACACGAAAAACTGGGAAGCTCAACATCCAGGGGACCGGCCCGCCAACAGGCGCCAACGAGCCCGAGCTCCAGCGAACTCGGGCCTCACGTTTCCCTTCCCTCGGCGCGGCACTTCCCATGCCCGATCGTCGATCCGTGGGGGTCCCAGGGAGATCGGCGGTGGACAAACCTCCCTTTAGTAGACCCCCCCTTAGTGAAAGCGGCCTGGGACCGAAACCGACGGGCCTGGACCCGCAAAAATGACGGCCGCGAGGCCCTCTCGCGAACCCAAAACGGCCAATTCACTAGTCGACGTGTCAGGGTAGGAGGTCTATCCACCTCCGAAGGGAGAGGCCAGAGCGCAAGCCGCTCCGGAAGCGAGGCAAACCGATGCCGGCCCTCCCCCGCAGAGAGGCACCCGGAGCTCTCCCGCAGAGGCCCCGCACGTCGTGCACTTAAAAGGCGCTCACGGCTGTGAGCCCGCGCGGCCCTCGGAACGCAAGAGCCTCGACCAGTATAGATCCTGGTATCGGGTGCCCTGGCTCGAAAGTCGCTGGGGGGGCAGCGTTGTTTCCAGGGCCAGATCCCCGTACGCTCGGCGGGCGCGCTTGATCGGTCAACTGCAATCCTTCCAGCCGCCCTTCGCGAGAAGCTCTGACTTCAGGTTTGCTCTTGCCGACGATTGGGCTGCTCATGCTTGCTCTTGCCCAACAAATCGCCCCAGAAACACAGATCGCGCGCGCTGCCCCTCAGCGAGCTTCAAGCCCTGGCCGCAATAATCGACGAGCGCGCTCCACTGCTCGCAAAAAGTAACTATACTCGCCAATGGCCCGGAAGCCCCCGCGGGGGCTCGACGACAAGTATTATGCATCAGAGCAGGCACGTGCTTTTGCTCGGGCGTCTGCGAGCAGGCACTCTCTGCGAGTCGTGGAGCGCGCTCGCCGACACCGCTGCGGGAGCCCCGAGGAAGAAGTCCAGACCCCTTCCCCACGGCCCGCCTCCCATCTCTAAAGGGGCCCCGGGACACACAAATAAATACACACAAATAAAAAGGTTCCCCATATTTTCCCATATTTTCTGGGTCTTTGTCTTCCCCCCCACTTCCCATATTTTCGCATATTTTCTGGGGAATCGACGATTAATTGTGTCTGTGTGTTTTTTCCCTTCCTGAATCTCGTGCTGCTCTCTCCCCGACGCCCCCCGGCGCCCGACGCCGGGCACCCCCGAGCTTTTAGTGGGCCCTGGAAACGACAAGGCCGTTTGTTACCGGTTCCGTACGTTTTGCCGTTTTTTTACAACAACAAAAAATAAAAAACAAAAAAACAAAAATCTTTATTTTGTACGTTTTGCCGTTTCTTTCTCGGTTCCGACGCCGTTCTTTTGCCGGTTTCGTCGCCGTTTTTTGACCGGTTCCGGCTCCGGCTCCAATCCTGGAGCCGTTTTGTGTGCCGTTTCCGGTCGCCGTTGTCTTACCCTTTCCATTTTCAAGGGGCACTTGTCTGGAAACGGTGAAAAAACGGCCCTGCCGTTTCCGGGGCCCACAAAGCTCCCGAGGCCGCCAAGAACGGTGGAGGACCTCGGACTGGACTCTCTCTCCGCGCGCTCGAGGCCTGGGGAGCCTGGCCACGGGCACAGCGACCACGCCGACCTTGCAGGCGGCTGGGGGCCCTCAGCTGGACCGGCCCAGAGAAGGGATCGGCCGTGAGGGAGGGAGGAGAGCACACTCGCCCCAAGTCTGTCCCTCGAACACTCCCGGGATCGAAGCTGGCTCCTCTCCTTTGCCGCGTCCAGCCGTTGCAACGAGGGGGCCCCGGCTCTCCCCCTTGGCCAGAAGCAGTGCCGGGCTCCCACGCCGACCGCTCTGCTTATCTTTTCTGTGCGGGGTCCCCGGGAGCCACGTCCCTTTCCACTGGGCGGGCTTCTCATCCCGAGCGGCATGTCGACGGTCCCGAAACCCGGCGAAGGCCTCTGGAGGCCCGAAAACGGCGAGAAACCTCCGCACTGCGTGCTTGAATGCGTCGGTCGCCCCCTCCCGGCCTCGCTCTGAGGCTGCGCCCCCCTTTCCCTCCCCCACCTCTGGTTAGTTCGAGCTTCGCGCGGCCCGCTCAGCTTCGACCCGAAGAGGTGCGCTCTCGACCCGCGAATCAAGAAAGGTTTGAATGCGTTGGAGGTCTGGGGCGGCGGGGTCCTCTGGCGGGGCCTCCTGCCGCCCAGCGCGCTCCGGGCCGACCGCCTCCTCGCCGCCCGGCGTGCCGAGGTCGTCGCCGGCGCTGCCCACGTGCACCCCGCTGAGGCGCCAGTCGCCCTCGAGGCCGTCCCCCCCCTCGGAGATCTCCACCTCTCGAAGAAGAGCAAGCGGCATGAAACATCAGCATGCGGTCAAGGTCTGTTTGGATTGAGGGGGCCCTGGGACACACAAATAGATACGCACAAAGAACAAGATCCCCCATATTTTCCCATATATTTTCTGTGTTTTTGTCCTCCCCCCCACCTTCCCATATTTTCCCATATTTTCTGGGGAATCGACGATTGATTGTGTCTGTGTGTTCGTTTCCTCCGGATGGATAGCGTGTCAGGGCGGCGGCCCCGGCGACGCGCTCTGCGAGTGGACAGCGTGTCGCTCCGCTGCGCGGGGGCGGGCGGGACGGAGAGGCTCGGGACGCCGAAGCCTGCATGGGGACCGGCTGGAAAGCGGTTATGGCGTGTCGCGCCAGAGCGTGGTGAGCCAGAACCAGTGGAGCGACGCGATGTCCAGAAACCCCGACCGCAACCTGCCGGGGGCCCCATCTAGGAGGCCTATAGGCAGTCCCAGCCCTCCGAGGACATGTCTTGGTCGATCGCGGCGTTTTTCCTCGGTTTCGGCCTCCCGGGGCCGCCGGGACCATCAGAACCGGACGACAAACACCGTGCGGGAAAGGGGTCGGGAGCTCTGGGGCCTCTCCTCGGCGCGATACCTCCTTGTCACACACACCATGCAGCGAGCGAGACGGTGAGGAACAACTGATCATTCGCTGGCCCAGCGGGCCAAAGGCGTGCTGAAATCTCCGGCAAGTGCTTGCGAATGTGTTTTCTAGCTCGCGCGCGCGCCTTGGCTGCCTCTGCGGGTCCCCTGGCGAAGAGTACCCTCCCGGTTCCCTGGGCGGTCCCCGTCACGGATGCCAGAACTCCTGGGGGCTGCCTTCATAGGGCCTTCCAGGGCGTCTCGAGAGGCCCCAAAGGCGATCTAAGAGTCCTCAGAGTCCTTGAAAGTCGTTCCAAGATGCCCAAGATAGCCTCCAGAGGAATTCAACTGCCTCTAAGACTCCCGAAGATGCCTCCAATACCACTCCCAAGAAGCCCCCTAGAGGCAACATTCAAGTATTTTCCATTGTTTTTTGCAGGTGTTCATCGTTCTCACCTTTTCGACCGCCGACGCTCTGAGACGGCCCAAGAAGCCCCTGACATTTCTCCAAGACGGCGTACGAGGCCTCCCACAGACCCCCACCACGGCCCAAGAGGGCTCCAAGACGACCCCAGGGGCCTCCAAGACGGCCAGAGAGAGCCCCAGGACGGCCCCAAGAGAGGGCACAGAAGGAGGAAGCCGAACGGGCATGTCGAGCCCTGGGCCCCATCAGGCGTCCAGGCTTCCCCAAGCGGCCCCCGAAAAGCCCCCAAAGAGGGTCCAAGAGGCACCCAAGAGGCGCCAAGAGAGCCCCAAGAGGTATCCAAGGCGCCCCCCAAACGCCCTCAAGAGCCCCCAAAAATGCGACGCAAGAGCCCCCCAATAAATCCTCCGAAGAGACGCCAAGCAACATCCATGATGACTCTCGCCCAGAACCGCAGCAGCGCCGACCAGCAGCGCCGCAGGGCCCACGAACGCGCACGCAAACGCTCACGACGGCACGATGCGGGCTGGCGGGACGAGCGAAGCGATCCAAGAATGGGGAAGGCAGCTGTCTCCCGACCGCTCCTCACCGAATGTGCGATGCAGGCATCTATGCAGGACCGCCGCCCGGAGGCCCTCGGCGGGCGGTGGACATGGACAGGCTCGGGCCCCCGGGGGCCAACACATGCATCCGTTACCCACCGCCCGCTGGGGCGCCAGGACGTCGGTTCCCAGGCGGCGGGTATGGAGAAATCCCCGCCTCGCAGGATGGGCCAGAGGGGAGCAGATCCTGGCCTTCTTCTGCCATGGACGAAGACCTCACTCAAGCACACTGCGTTGCTTAAGTGTGGCACGGCTGCCGTGCGGATCGAGGGAATCACCTCGTCGGGCCGCTGGTTCCCCCCTTCGTCTGAGGAGCAGAAGACGGCATCAACATCGTTTTCCGCGGGTCCGCGCAGATTTCCGGGATCGGCGCTGTTTGCACCCCCTCCCTGGCGCGCAGGGTGCGCCAGAGGCGGCGCGGATGCGCCGCCCAGCGCAGAGCCAAGAGATCCGCGCGGAACCCCGACAGTTCATGTGTATGCCGCTTGTTCCTTCCCTCTTGCGAGCCTGAGGCGTGTCCTTCTCCCTATGCTTGGCATCGCCTTACCTCGATGCCCATCGTAGGGATTCCAGCAGTTTCTGTGGGCGCATGCCTAAGATTGTCATCGCTTTTTGGCTTGTCGATCTTAGATAGACGAGCGCGTTCCGCTACCTGTTTTTCGGGCGTTTGCGAGTGGGCACTTTGCGAGTAGTCGAACGCGACCGGTGATTAGATCGGCAGTGGACAAATCTCCCTTTAGTAAACCTCCCCTTCATGAAAACGGCCTGGGACCGAAACCGACGGACCTGGACTCGCAAAAATGACGGCCGCGGCGCCCACTCGCGAGCCGAAAACGTCCCATTCGCGAATCGACGTGTCAGGGTAGGAGGTCTGTCCACCCCCGATTAGAGGTACGCATATGGCAGACGTCGAGTGTCAGCCTCTCCATGTATGGCAGAAGTCGCTAATCGACGTTTTCCCCTCTTCCACGTATGGCAGACCTCCAGTGTCAGCCTGGCCGTGCTGCGCGACGCCTGCCACTCCGGCGGCGCCTGGCTGGGCCCCGGCGACAAGGCCAGCCGGTCGCTGAGCGCCTTCGCCTCCTTGGAGTTAAGTCGGGCGTGTCCCCCCTACAGGGGGATTTCCGGCGAAAAATGAAAACATGTCACAAAAATGCTCCAACACGGTCGAAAAAAAAACGAAAATTGCCCCCAGATCATGTTTTGACGATTTCTGAATACTCCCCCTGTGGAGGGACGGGCCCGACTTCACCGTGGAGGCCTCCCGAGTGGGGTCGGAGCAGGTGAGAGGCCGGAGGCCCGCACAGAGTCGCCGATGCACCGGCGATGCCGGAGGTGCGTCGAGGCTGTCGGCGAGGAGAACATCGGGCTCCACATCTAGGGGAACAACAAGTGACATACAGTCGGGGCGTTGACCCAAGGAACCCTAAACAAGGAACGGGGCCCCTTTTTCCACAAGCTAAGCTTCGATTTCCCTTCGAGAACATAAGGGGAACCTGAGGCAAGCTGTGAAACAATCAAGGAACACCGAGCCCCTCCCCAACGAAAAGGGTTCCTTCTTCAGCGCCCCGACTGTAAACATAAAAACTCGGAGGTCCGCGCGGATTTCTCGGATCGGCGCTGGACCCCCCTCCCTGGCGCGCGGAGCGCGCCAGGGGCGGCGCCGGAGGCGCCGCCGGGGGGCCTCAGCGCCGATGCGAGAAATCCGCGCGGACCTCCGAGTTTCTATGGGTATGCCAATTCTTGTCCCCCTGATGTCGGCGAGGGGAACATCGGGCTCCACATCGAACCGCATCGCCGATGCACCGGCGATGCGGTACGATCCTCCGACCCCATCTGCTCCGACCCCACCTGGGAGGCCTAAGCTCCTGCAACCGGCCGACGGTCAGGCTGGCGTGCGCGGGCGTGCCGGGCGCGGGCTGCCTGGGCAGCGCGTGGAGCTGCGCGGCGTGGTGCTCGCTCGCGTTGCTGGTCGACGAGGTCGACGCGGTGGAGACCTGGAGTCCAGATGCTTTAACCTACTGTAGCCTGGGCCACCAGGAAGAACTTCGAACACCACAAGGAGTGCCGAAACTCGAGGCTCTTCACGCGTAGGGCCCTGGGAGACGCTCGTCCGACACGGTTTCGAAACCGTTCCGACACTCGTTCGACGCCTTTCCGGGTGCTCGAACTTAGTTCTGGGATGTGGTCCTCGAGCACGACAGGAGCAACACGAGCCTGGAGGAGCATCAGTCGCACAGGCGTCGTGCTGTCACAGAGGAGGCCACAGGAGAGGGAACGAAGGTGGCGCCGCGCTGGCCTGGGCTGACCTCGGCCACTGACGGGGTCCCCGACGTGAAAATCTACAAACCTCCGCGAAGCTTAACCCAAGTAGGGGAACGAACTCTGTACACCGACGCTCTCCCCGACCCTGCGCTGAAATTCGCACAGGAACGCGGATGCTGGTGTATACGGAGCCCTGGCGTATACATTTGTCGCTGCTTCCCCGGGACATCGGGAAAACAAGTATACGCCACACCACCCCAGCGTCGTCCCCGAGCCTCAAAAAGTCCTGGGATTGACATTACTCGACACGGGGCTCCCCATATGTGCATCTCATTATCTTGGTACGTCTTTCTCTTGATATCTGTCAATGAGCGCCTGTGTGCGAGGGCGAACCGCTCGCTCGAGACATTCACACAGTCTGCCAGCATGAGTGCGACCAATCGCAATTCTGAGAACGACCGATTCTGAGTGTGAGTTAATATGGGTGCGATTGGGCCTGGGTTTGAGTGGGTATGCGTGTGAGTAAATATGAGCGCGAGTGCGTCTGTGTGCGAGTGGGTCTGAGTATGGACGAATCGGAGTGTGAGCAAGTCTGTGATTGAGCGGATCGTAGCATGATGGGTCTGAGCATGAGTGAGTCTGGGCTTGAGTGGGTCCGAGTGTGAGAAAAAGTGTGTGTTGATGAATCTGAGTGCGAGTGAGCCGAGTGTGATTGGGTATGGATGTGAGGCAGTCTGAGTGTGAGTCGGTCTGCGTTTGAGCGGACCGAAGGATGATGAGTCTGAGCAGGAGCGAGTCTGAGTATGAGTGGTTCTGAGCGTGAGTCTGAGTGTGAGTAAGTTTAAGTATGGATATGATCGAGTCTAAGTGCGAGTGAGCCTGCGTGTGACTGAGTATGAGTGAGTATGAATGCAGAAGAGTGAAGGAGAGCGGAGAGCGAAGGAGAACGAGGCGGAAGCGTTTGAGTAAAACCTAAAGCTTTGGAACATCGAACCTCGATCGTCTGGCCCTGGCTACTCGAGTTGCCCACGTCCTCCTCCTCCTCCTCCTCCTCCTCCACCTCCTCCTCCTCATCATCATCCTCCCCTTCGTGCTTCTGCTCCTACCGTGTTCATGCTGTCCTCCTCCTCCTCCTCCTCCTCCTCCTCCTCGTCCTCCTCCTCCTCCTCCTCCTCCTCGCTTCCTCCTTTTCTTCCTCCTCCTCCTCCTCCTCCTCCTCCTCCTCCTCCTTGGGAGTGCTGAAACCAGCAAAGCGCCTGAGACATCTTCCCAAAACTGCTCCGAAACGGCCAAACCGCCTGAGACATCCCCGCAAACTGGGAGCGAACGTCCTCCAAATCTGCTCCGGAAGCGACACATGTTGGAGGAGAGAATGGCCAAACCGCCTGAGACATCCCCACAAAATCCCGCGAAAGGGGCCGAGGGAAATACCCCCCCGCCGCTCCCCGTAGGAGTGCTGAAACCAGCGAATCGCCTGAGACATCCTGCAAATCTGCTCCGAAAGCGAAGCATGTTGGAAGAGAAAATGGCCAAACCGCCTGAGACATCCCCACAAAAATCCGCGAAAGGGGCCGAGGGAAATACCCCCCCGCCGCTCCCCTTGGGAGTGCTGAAACCAGCGAATCGCCTGAGACATCCTCAACATCAGTGTGTGTGAGTCATCCGATGAGTGGACCTGAGTGAGTGTAGTGAAGGTATGAGTACAAGTACGAGTGAGTCTGAGTGATGGGTGAGTCTGAGTGATGAGTGAGTCTGAGTGATGAGTGAGTCGGAGAGATGAGTCTGAGTCATGCCCGAGTCCGAGTGATGAGTGAGTCTGAGTGATGAGTGAGTCTGAGTGATGAGTGGGTCTGAGTGATGAGTGAGTCTGAATGATGAGTGAGTCTGAGTGGTGAGTGAGTCTGCGTGATGAGTGAGTCTGAGTGGGTCTGAGTGAGAGGAGTGGTGTGTTCTCGTCTGTGTTCTCCTCCGGCGCGGTCCGCCAATAACAAGAACCCCATACTTAGGATATGGGGAAAACAACCCGCCACTGGTAACGTAGATGTTCCAGTTTCCGACCAAGTTCCCACCCCCTACACAGACACCAATTTCGATGTTCAGTCGCGCGCGCTGCGCGGTCCGCGGACGCCGAAGGAAGAATGGAAATTAGGCGTCAGCATCAACACTGACATGTGGGGGTCTGGGGGCGCCGGCGCGGCGCGGGAAACACTTGCGCTCAAGTTTCATCGGGAATCCGCGGCCTGGAAGCTGAAGCATGCGTAAAGCATGTCTAAAACGTTCTTAGGACATGCTCCGTTCATCGTCCTCCACAAAATATAAGGCACCCCCCCAGGGCTTGAAGCCTCCTGTGCACATTCCTTAACCAGTGCCCCCACCGCAGGGAACGGCCAGAAGAACAGAGCCTCTCCGGGACCCCAGGTGATCTTTTGTATCCGTGTCTTGTGAAGGGGCCCTGGGACACACAAATACATACACACAAATAACAAGATTCCCCAAATTTTCCCATATGTTCTGGGTTTCTGTCTTCCCCCCCCCACACTTCCCATATTTCCCTATACTTTCTCGGGAATCGACGACTAATTGTGTCTGTGTGTTTTTTCCCTCCTGAGCATCAGTGCCACGCAGGCCGTAGAGAGGGGGGGGGGGCCGCCCGCGCGCTGCTGCCAGGGGCACGCCAACGATCAGACACAGATCCCTGGATTCCCCCCACACGTTCCACATTCTCTGGATGCCCGTCTGCCCCTCCACTTCCCGTGTTTTCCTGGGAGCGGGCGATGACTTGTGTATGTGCCGTGTTTGGGCGAGCAACGACATATGTACATGTACGCTCTTCGCGGTCTTGCCTGCACGAACGTCCGCGTTGACACGCACTCCAGGGGAAGCTAACCGCGTGCGTGTACATGTGTTGCTGGCCTCTGATTGGGCGAGCAACGACACATGTACATGTACGCCCTCCGCGGTCTTGCCTGCACGAACGTCCGCATTGACACGCACTCCAGGGGAAGCTAACCGCGCACGTGTACATATGTTGCCTGCTCCCCTCCTGATCCTGCCAGCCCTCCGGGCAGCAGCAGCGAAGGAGCAGCACCGGCGGGCCCCCAACGGCGGCGCGCCACCGCACCACTCACACACCCTGCAGGACATAAGCCTCCGACCTGCGGCGGTCGATCCGCGGCCCCCAGAGCCCTCCTCCCGACGCCTTGCCTGGGGGCAGCGTGCGCGGGCAATAGTTACATCCACATCCAGTGCGTCTTGGATTCTGGGGCTCTCTTCCCCAGAAACCGTAGACGCACTGGATATGGATCGAAATCTGGCCCCAAGAGGCTTGATTTTATCCGTATCCAGTACGCCCCGGCGTTGCGGCACCTCTTCCCAAAAAGTCCACGACGCTCTGGATATGGATATAAGTACTGCCCGCAGTGTGGTCTGGGCGGTCCATATGAACGGGCGGCCCCTTTCAAGAATGCGTTCTTACCTGGAGACCGAACTGAAGCACCACTGGAAGGCACAGCGCGAGCACCTCGCGCAAAGGTTCTAGCATCGCGCAGGCCCGGGACGAACCCCTGCACGCCGCTTGAACGCGGAGGCGCTGATCTGAACGTAACGCGCGAGGTCATACCTGGCGCCCCCGATGAGCGGCCCCAGGGGGGAGGGAAACGCCGGGGCGGACAACATCACATCGTCGGGCGGGCCTTCCCCGGGACCCGACGCTGCGAAGCACTTTTGCCGCACCGCAGACACAGCTCACGGCCAACGCCCAGACCCGACCTGCCTGCTTCACCCTGCGGGCAGGATCACTCTGCGAGGGCCCTGGGGCCTCCTCCCTCCCTCCCTCCCTCCCTCCCTCCCTCCCTCCCTCCCTCTCCTCCTACTACTACTTCACTCCCATTGACCCTCTCCTCCTCCTCCTCCTCCTCCTCCTCCTCCTCCTCCTCCTCCTCCTCCTCCTCCTCCTCCTGCACCCGGGCGGGAGCGCCCAGCGTGAAGGCATCGCAGCGCCCGGACCTCAAGGCTTGCCCCTCGGGGGCGCCCAAGTCCAGCGGGGGCGGGGGGGCGCAAATCCTGGCGCCGGCGGCACGTGCGCGGCCCAGGGGAAGGAAGGGGGGGGGGGCCTGGGACGCACTGAGATAGTGACTACCTACCAGAACACCCCAACCCAACCCGAAGACCCGAATTTCGGGTTGGGGGGGGTAAGGGTTCCACGCGTGTTTTTTCGATGTTTCCCGACCCCCCCCCACTAGAAATCGAGGGTAAATCTGAGCCTTCGGGTTGGGTTGGGGTGGTTTGGTGGGTGGCGAGATAGGAAGAGGGGGCCATGTGGGATCTGGGGCGACCTCATGGCCCGGACCAGGATGCCCCCCGCCCCCCCTAGTCTTAGGTCGGGCCTGTCCCCCTACAGGGGGGTTCTAGGCGAAATGTTAAGAGGCATTCAAAACATACGCCCAACAAATTCAGAAATAGCCCAAACCAAAGAGAATCCCCTGACTAGTTGTTGGACTATTTTTGAATATCCCCCCTGCAGAGGGACAGGCCCGACTTACAGTCAAAACGTACAGTAAGGACGCGTGGCAAGGACGCAAGACCCTTGGAGGCTGAAATTGGGATTTTTTGGGCGGCGGCGACCAGCGAAAACGGCAAAGGACGGGCCACAGAGGCAAGGACGCAAGGGCATCCTAGATGAAGGCGCGCGTCCTTACTCGGCGCGTTGACTGTAACCCTAGTCATGACCATCACCCCTCCCTTGAGCCGCCCCCGCGCCCCTCCCGAGGACCGAGCGCGGGGAGGCGGGCTTGGCGCCGCAGTGCGGCCGCCCCGCCCGGCCCTTCGGAGGCTCGGCCGCGGGGCGGCTGACGATGAGCCGCGTCTCCACGGCGGGGCCGACCTGGGGGGGGGCCCGAGTTTCCGCCCGCGGTGGAGAATCTCGGGGGAAGGAAGGGGGGGAGGGGGAGGAGGACAAGCTAGGTGCGCTCGCGTCATATCTGACGTCCTACCCCTCCCTCCCATCCCCTACCATGGCGCTGATTTTCTCTATCCGCGGACGCGTCTCGTAGCGGACCTGTGGCTCCGCGCGCGCGTGCGTAGTGGGTGGTGGTGCGCGTGCGTGCGCGCGTGCGTGTGTGCGTGGGTGGTGGTGGTGGTGGTGGTGGTGGTGGTGGTGGTGGTGGTGGTGGTGGTGGTGGTGGTGGTGGTGGTGGTGGTGGTGGTGGTGGTGCTGGTGGTGGGTGGTGGTGGTGGTGGTGGTGGGTGGTGGTGGTGGTGGTGGTGGTGGTGGTGGTGGGTGGTGGTGGTAGTGGTGGTGGTGGTGGTGGTGGTGGTGCGGCGCGGTGGTGGCGGGCGGATGGGCGCGCGAGAAAGAGGCCCGCGCTGGGGCGAGAACGCCATCCTGAACGACGGAGGCCAAACACCGATCCGAAAATGAGGCCCACGCTGCAGCGGGAGCACGATTCGGAACGATTCGGGAGCAGAAATGAAGCCGGCGCCTCAGCGAGAGCAACATTTTGAAAAACGCAGGCGAAAACCCAACTCCCGGGAATCCTGTGTATAAAAAAACAATGCGCGGGGGGTCGACTACTTTCAGGCCGCCATCGGGGGAAGAGGGAGAGTAGTATTCATATTGAGAAATTGTGGAGGAGGAGGAGAGGAGGAGGAGGAGGAGGAGGAGGAGGAGGAGGAGGAGGAGGAGGAGGAGGAGGAGGAGGAGGGAGGAGGAGGAGGGGAGGAGGGAGGAGGAGGAGGAGGAGAGGAGGAGGAGGAGGAGGGAGGAGGAGGAGCACGAGGAGGAGGAGGAGGAGGAGGAGGAGGAGGAGGGAGGAGGAGGAGGAGGAGGAGGAGCACGAGGAGGAGGAGCACGAGGAGGAGGAGGAGCACGAGGAGGAGGAGGACCACGAGGAGGAGGAGGAGGAGGAGGAGGAGGAGGAGGAGCACGAGGAGGAGGAGGAGGAGGAGGTAGACGAAGACAAGGAGGAAGAGACGGGAGGAGGGGAGAAGGGAAGAGACGGGAGGCCGAAGGGGCGATGGATGGGGTAAGGAGGGAGACGCGAGGAGGGAAGGCGGGGGGAGGAGGCGCCGACTGCCCCGCCGCTGGGCCCAAGATGGGGCTGCACGCAAGGGGCGGCCCTGGGCGAGAGGGATCTGGCCCCCATCGCGTCGTGAAACATTCGGTCAAGACGCTGAGAATAAGGACCGCTTTGGCTTCGGACGGGGCTCGCTGTGTTCCTTCGGCCCTTCCGTGGCTGTTCCTCCAATCGCCCTCCTCGTGCACCCCGGGCCCTCATTTTTGTTTTGTTGTTTTGCTCCTGGTGCCACAAAGAGGCTTCGTTCCTCATTTTGGAGCTCCTTGTTTCGGCAGCCGACGGTATCACGACAGACACTGCTCCGCAATTCTCGGCGTCCTGGGGACATCGCCGTGCCACGGGGCCGCCAGAAAATGACTCAGGATGAACAGCGGGCCCCCAGGAAGGGTCCAGAATGCTGGGGGGTCCACGTCTTTAAGATATCATGACGTGGGGGGTCTGGGAACGGGGGAGATCCTGGGCAAATGTGACCCTGAAATTCCAGCGTCGCGATTGTTTAAAGCCGGGCGATTTCGCTGCGGCGAGCCCAGATCGGGACGAACAGCAGGTCTCCAGGAAAAGATCCCAAACCCTGCTGATACATCCGGCAGCAGACGAGTAACAGATCAGACACGAACACACACTGCTGGGAGAACATAGTGCAATTGCAAACTTTAGTACTGGACCTAGGCAGGTTTTCAACGAAACTACTGTTAAACACAATCTAAGACAACATTCATCCGTCCTGAAAGCGTTGTCTTGGAAGCTCTGGCATTATTCGAACTTACTTGTGCTCTAGCCGCGGCAACATACAAGAATCAACGACATGGTCCCTCACCGGACATGAATGTATTCATATTCCACGTCCAGGCGATTCAGCGTCGATGTCCTCATTCGCACAGTGTTTGTAATTTTGAACCACGCGGTCTTCCGCTGAGAGATCTGCGCAGGTCCCCCTTTCATTCGCGCGATGAACTACCAGCTTTCCCGTCGTGGCCAATGCCTTTTGTTTTCTTCTACTGTTGCGACCCGCTCGCCCCCCCGTCCTCACCGTCTTCTTCGTTCCCCTTTATCCCGCGCGCCGAAAACAGTGGAGGTGCCGCTCAGCATGTAGTGTTTCTGTCAGGTAGCTTTTTTGAAGGGAGCGGGTTGCGCAGGAAGGGGGCGGCACTCGGTCGGCCACGCAGCCGCTGAGTCGCCGCACGGAGCTCGGGCAGGGCGCCGATGGGGGCCGACGGGAAAAGGCGGCGGGCCGGCCGCCGGGTGGGCCGTCTGGACGGCCGCCATGGCTCTCGCGCGGTGTTGTCACTGGCTGCTTGCTTGCTCGCGCTGCCACTGAGGCTCGCCCGGCAATGCGCCCGCAGATCCTCATTCGCCTGCTTGAGCTCCTCGATCTGTTGCTTGGGCCTCCTGATCTCCTGCTCGCGCGCTCCGCTGTCCACCGCAGCCGACGCCATGGAAGCCTTGGCCGCCATACTTGCAACAGCGGCGACTTAGCGGATGTCCGTGAACCCCTGGCGCGCTGGAAACACGCTGCGTTGAACCTGTTTGCGAATGTCCGCCACGAGCCTCCTGCCATTCGCAATGTAGCAATTCATGTGTGTGTGGCATTCTCGTTGCCCTCATTGAGCTTGTCACTGATCTTATGCAACATGTCGATCCAATCAACCTGCTTGGAATCCGTCATCTCCTGGAGTTGCCAGATCACCTCGCGCTCGCGCACTGGGGCGCGCTGGCTTGAGCTGGAGCCGCGGGCGTCGTGTTTCTCGTTCTTCTTGGTGGCCACCTCGATACTAGCTACTGGTGCCGGTCGCCTCGTGATGCTGCTGGTGGCCGTCGTGATTGACCGCGTCGTTGATGGCCGCCGGTTTGGCGTTCTCCATGGCCTGCTTGTGCACGGCGTCGGTGTCCATCAAACCATCGTTGTCGACCCAGCGCGCCGTGCCGCCCATGTCCATGTGGCACTGGTGGCGCGGCACTCACGAGCCCCAGACTGCGGCGACAGAGCCAAAATGGCCAGAGGGAGGGATGGGTTCCTGACGCACTGGGGGTGCATCTGGCATGTTAGCAAGTCGTGTCCAGGTGGTGATTGGCATGGTATCAAGACCCTGGTAGCATGCGCTCGGACATGTTATCATGGCTCCAGATCTTATGCTGCTCGAGCAATTGGTGACGTAGTGCACTGGTGATGGTACCCTCACCAGTCGACACGTTGTGTGAACAATCGTTGGTGTTTGCCTAGACGTGTCCTCAACGCATGCCCCCACAACACTCAGACATAACGTCACTGTTCACATGAAAACTCATCGTGCACCTCATCGTCATCCCCCTCATCCACGATTCGTGCGCTGGTTCGTTGTTGTGTTCGATGTTCCCATACAACGGCTCTATACGAGAACACGTGTGCCTTCTGATACATATATATATGTATATATATGTGTATATATACATGTATGTATGTATGCACACGTCTACGCGGGAACACCGACGTCAAGTTGTCATCCGCTGATATTTGAACGTATTAAAGATAAAATACGCCGTCTCTTAAGGATCGCATTCCATTTCCACTCGTACCATGTGTTTGTAGCCATCTGCATCGAGCATGGCGGCATTTTTTGATACACCCTCAGATCCACCGCGCGGCTTCGATCCGGGCGGTTGGCGCTCGCTCGCAGTTCACGACAGCTGATGGAGGCGGTCTGGTCGGTCCGACGCGGCCCGAGTGGAAGCGCTCCCGCGATCACGAAGGTCTTCATGATGACGGTGATTGGTTTGACGATGGCTCGTGGAGCTCAGCAGGGACTGCTTGGCAGTCCCGGTGGCATGCACCATGGTCTGACACAGACGTTGCAGATCAAGGTCTTGTACTTCCACTGGCACCAGGCTTCGACGCTCGACGCGCACCAGGCGACGCGAGTTCGCGCGGCACCCCGCCACTGCGCAACGAGGCGGCGTGCAAACACTGGACCATGCATGAAGGGGAACTGGGACACACAAATAAATACACACAAATAAAGATATTCCCCATATTTTTTGTCTTCCCCCCCACTTCCCATATTTTCCCATATTTTCTGGGAATCGCCGATGAATTGTGTCAACGTGTTTTTTCCCCTCCTGAATGCAGTCCGCATCACGGAATGCTAAATGATAGGTGCCCCCGCTGAAGTTTGGGAACATCTCCGAGACTCCCGTCGTCGAGCCGACCGCGGACAAGCCATGAGATTCCTGGCGCCGCGCGGGCCGTGGAGATCGCGCCTGCGATTCCTGACGCCAAGCCGGCCACGGAGCTCATCTCTGAGATGCCTGACGCCACGCCGACCACGTAGATCAGTCTAGGACTCCTGGCGCCAAGCTGCTGGCTTACAGCGACGGGCCACCCATCCATCAAGATGGCACGGCCGTGGAGGCGGTGTCGGGCCACGCGAACTTGACCGCAGATGGCAACACTGAGGCTGTCATTCAAGGCGACCGCCGCAAAGGCAGCGGCGTACTGCGCGGCAGAGGTAGGCATGGAGCCCGCGGACGCTGGCCGAATCCAAACGTTCAGTGGCACGCAGCGCGCGCAGCAGCTGGGCGCGAAGAGTGGATTCACTAGTTTAGAAAGTACGACCCCAAGCCACCGACAACGCGGCAAGGGCTTCTCTGCACGCTGCTCGCCACATCTTGCCGTTGGCTTGGTGGCCACGCCGGAGCGAGTGCCGTGGGGCCGTCGTGTTAATAGGCCGGTGCCTTGCCAATCGGCGCACATATCGCCTGTCGTACTGGACACTCACGATGGAATCATACGGGCCCGTAATGATGTTCCTCCAATGTGTGAGGTTGCGTTCTGGACCCTGTAAAAGCCAAACTTCCACCGCCGCTCACATCAGCACCCAACGGTTGATGCAATCAAGTATGACTGGCATCATAAAATTGTCATGGGTACATAAGATCAGACCTACATGTTTATCTTCACATTGCTAAGCTCATCAGATGATTACCATCAGCAGGCTGGTCTGCGTTACCCTATTCTTCGCATCAGTCATCAAGCGGTTCCGATGGTGACCATCAATCGTCCGACGCAGCCTCGAGCATACGACACGTCACCATAGCGTTCACACCCGTCTTGCCTACAAGCATCCACACATGCCATCGTTGCATCGTCCGAATCCCCCGTCTCGCGTGCCATATGTCTGACAGTTGCGGTTTGACGATGCATTGCGATCAGTGGTCGCCGAGGTGCGCAGTGGTGCGCAGTGGTTCGGCGATCGTGGCATTCGCATTCCCTGCGGGTTTTCGCACGACGCAAGCGTTGGGTCCGTCGGCGGCCGCAGGCCACAGCAGGTCTACGCCAGCTTCCTCGAAGGCTTCACCACCGAGGACAACTGGAGCAAGCGGATCCAGGACGGGGCATCCAGCCGCGCCCCACTGAGCCTGATCATCGCGAGTGTCCCAGGCTGTGCGGCACCAGCGTCTGCGAGCACAGCCAACAACTGCTGGCGTCACTATGGGTGCTGCTGACGGAGAGGTACACCGAACGACTGACCTATTTCCACAATAAGGCCGTGGAAAACGAGCACCGCAGGGTCGCAGACAAGACGGCGAAGCCACATGGCCGCATCCTACCTGGCCTCTGCCAGAGGGGCTTGCCCATGTCTGGCCGTTCATGTTCGCGAAGGCCTTCACGTCTTGGCAGAGCGACGGGCCTGTGCGTTGCCCGATTGATCTGCCGAAGTTGCGGACCCTCGACAGCTCACATCGCTGTCGAAGGGGTCCGCCAGCTGCTCGGGACGGCGCATCGTCGCATGAACTTGCCCTCGCCGATGGGCAGGGGTGGGGCAACGAGAGTTCGACTGACAGATGCTCGACAAACAGACCGAGCAGCTCCAGGACACTCAAGCATCCGCGCCGTCAATGTTGAAACCGCATAACTTTGAGGGGATGTACCTTCCCTTCTCGAATGCACAGGCGCGTCGCTGTCGCGAGCGAACCCCGCCACACACAAACAAAAGCACACAAGCATATGAAACAACACATGGCAATATGGGCATGATAAATGCGAGAGAACACATCCACAAAGATAAATCTAAAATACGGGATACATATATCGACACGACATGATACAATGTATGGTGACTCCGTGTGTGTTCACAAATAAATGGCGATGATGAGCGCGGCCTCGGAATCCATATAGTGGACCAGCCCATACGAAACGATGTCATACTTCTTCCCATTGGCTTTTCGAATCCAGGCCGCGGAATTCATCCACTGGCGTTGCTGGATATTGCGTCGACCCCTCCACCCACAGGCGATGGCGATGCAATTCAAGATGGGAGGCGCCATGCCGCGGCATGCGGGCGATGACAACTTGCTCGACGGGCTCGAGATGCCGACTAACAGGTCGAGTGGTGGTCGGCGAAGCTCGCACCATGCACTAACCTCAGCCACCTTCCAGTCGACCTCGTGATCGATCACTTCCCCACGGTCTCCGTCCTGCAAAAGACGAGGCCCCCGTGGCGCAGATCGCTGCTGCTGAAAATCCTCGTGGAAATGGGGCACTTGCAGAGTCTGTGCTACTTCTACCTGGAGAGGCGCGGATCGAACAGCATGAACCTTGGTCGAGGAGGCCGATTTTAAAAAGATGAAAGCTGAATGACCACGTCCGAGATGCTATGGACATGGTGGATGCGAAGAGACACCGCCACAAGGATACCGGAGTCGGAGCACGGGGCGGCCGAGGGCGAGGTCGGGAAGGGGCCGCGGTCGCGGCAAGACTGCGGCCCGCGTCCACGCGATCGAGGGCGGCGGCGAGGACGGGGAGACCAGAACGACGACCGACGATGGCGCGAGGAAGGGACCTGCGACTAGGCCAACCCCGATGAAGCTGAAGAAGCAACAAACGTGCCCTGGTACTCCGTCTACAGTGAGCCCGACCCCGGTGGAAGCGGCGAATGTCACTCCGTCTGAAGTGAGCCCGTTCCCGATGAAGGCAACGAAGGTCACGCAGGGCAAGCTCGCGATGACAGTCACCATGAGCAAAGCTACAAAGAAAGACGAGCGGCATCGACTCGAGCATCCTGGTATCGATCACCAAGTCTGGCACAACGACGCGGACGAGAAAGTCGTTCACGTCCACGGCCCACCAGGCGGCCAGGAACCGCGTAGGCAAGCTGTCGAAGGACAAAATCGGCAACGTCGCGAAGATACTGCAAAGAGCGGCACGTGCTGCATACGACGCGGTGGCTGCAAAGTAGCTGGGCGAAGCCGACAGCCGTCAGCAGCATGGGCGCAAACGTACTCCCTTCACCATTCCCACACCCGTCTCCACCACAATATGCATACTGCATACATGTTAACTCCAGCACAGACCCCAATCACAAACAGCCTTATCGGATTCGTAACACCCAAGGAATCTCATAATGATGACCAAGCACGTACGTGACTCATGTGCGACAATACATCGTGCTGTGTTCGTTCCCATATACATCCGGATATGGTGTGGTTTGTACTACAACGTTTCAAAGGGAGGTCAGGGTCCCCAAACCAGCACTTGTGCTTAAGTAGAGGTAAGCGGTTACCCGCGTTAAAGACAATCGTCCCCCTCAAATCTCTAGACTTGTCAACGGCCGTTGAACGTCAAAACCAGATGGGGCTCCTTAGCGTCCTTAGCCTATTCCTCTTTATCCTTGGCCTCCTTCTCCTCCTGACTCTCCATCCTGCATCCCCTCCTCTTCCCCTACCTCCACGTCAGCATGCTCGGCCACGGGTGGTGCGACTCGTGTTATCACAATCTTCAGCACCACCAACGGCCGCTGGGGCAGCGCCAGATTAGTCGTCGGCCGACCTGCGCTGAGCCTCGGGCATTTGGGGTCAGCGCTGGGCGAGATTCGTAAAGCATCGCGTCAGCTTGAACTCCGTCACCACATCAAGTCGCATGCATGGCGAGCGGCACATCCGCTGGTTGATAGGGTTGGTAGTT